ATTTAAGAAAAAAATGTATTTTTCCGCAAAAAACGAAAAAAGTTTATCTAAAGTGATTTAAATTTATATATTTTGACGTATTTTTATGTGAAGATTACAAATAAATATAGCGAGGATGATTGGAGTTGATTTTTCTGGGGCAGTCAAGAAAAAATTTATAATTTTAGAAAAAATCATGAATTTTTTCCGAATAACGAAAAAAAATTTTATCTAAAGGACTTCAAATTTACTATTTTTGCGTATTTTTATGTGTAGATTATAGAAATAATCTTAATAAACATGATAAGAAGTGGAAAAAGTGGACTTTTTCCTTAAGTTTATTTATTCAGTATTTATAACTCTAAAATAAAACAGGGGTTTCTTTATGTTTATTTCATAAAAATTTGGCTTCCTCGCGGAGGAAGCAATAATTTTGTTTAACTCATTTAGGTGATTTAAATTCAATTAAAACGCAAAATTTTATAGCCAAAATGCGAATTATTGATTTTTTAACTTTCATTAATTTATTAAATTTACCTCAAATGAACCTCATTTACCTCAATGGTAAGTAAATTAGTATATAATAATCTACAGAAAAGTATATTTTTAATAATTAAATAGAATATTTAAAAATTAAAAGTAATCAATAAAAAATTTACCTTCTATTTTCTCTTACCCTCATTTTTCAATTTCAATAATTCTTGTACTTATTAAAAAATAAAAATAAAATCGGACAAGTGCGAGTTACACTCGCACTGAAATCGAGGGTTCCGTACTCGAAGCGAATTTATTTGGTATAAAAACAAATATTTGAAAAATATGTGTTGTATGTTAAATAATATAAGTGATACAAAAAAGGACAATTTAAAAAAAAAATTAAGAAAATTGTTCCTCCTTTGGTATAAAAACAAAAAAAAATTTAAATATGTGTTGTATTTCAAATAATATAAGTGATACAAAAAGGAACAATTTTTTCAAATTTTACAAAATTGTTCCTTTTTGTATCACTTATATTATTTGAAATACAACACATATTTAAAATTTTTTTTTGGTTTTATACCAAAGGAGGAACAATTTTCTTAATTTTTTTTTTTAATTGTCCTTTTTTGTATCACTTATATTATTTAACATACAACACATATTTTTCAAATATTTGTTTTTATACCAAATAAATTCGCTTCGAGTACGGAACCCTCGATTTCAGTGCGAGTATAACTCACAGTTGTTCGATTTTTTATTTTATATTTGGTATTTAAACCAAATATTGGTTGGATCAAAATAAATTTTGGTTAAGCCAATAAAACTTTCTTTTGTTCTAAAAATTGAAAAAAAAATTTAAAACAACAAATATTTATATATTTTAAAAATATATAAACTTAAAATATTTTTTATTTATACATTTTTGGAATAAATTCTATAAAAATTATTTAATATTAATAAATTCTATTTTTACGTCAAAATATTATCCCGTGGGAAAGATTCGTTTCGAAAAATTAATTTTGTAAATGGAACAGAAAGATGGATAGTATCAAAAAGAAAAAAAAAGTAGACAGTATTATAATATACCCTCCCTCATCTTTATTAAATAGTGTTTTAATTTAAAAATCATATATATATATATATATATATATATCGAAATGATGAATTACATTATAATGCTCAAGTAATATCATCTTATATTTATTTTAATCCCAAGTGGCAATCTAATGAATATCACATTTTACGTATGAAATCTTTGAATTTTATGAAAAAAGTAAAATCTATCAAACAGTAAATAATAATTTTTATTAATTGATAAAAAAAATGTAAAAACTTATTGTTGATCATTTTAGAACAATATTAATTTTAGTAATTATTATATTGAAAATTATTATTTTGAATATACAATAATCCTGTTAAAATGAATGTTTCAATGTTAATTTTCAATATAATAATTATTAAATTTAATGAAGCAATTCCAAATACTAAATACGTAATCACTTAGGAATAATTAAATCGTTTTGGTACTCTTCATATATATATACATCCCTCAGAACTTCATTAAATTAGTGTAAACACCTCAAGCTATTGAAGCAAATATGCTTATTTGACTGTCATTTAGAGCAAACAAAATAAGAAATATCATAGTTGCTTATTAACATTTCTTTGGATTCTATTAGTTTAGTTTTTCTTTTTTTAAGTTTATAATTTTGAAAAGCCTTAAATTTTATTAATATCATGACTTATTAGATAATATTTTTGAATTTATAAATTGACACATTTTTTTTTTTAATTTTTCAAGAAATAAATAAAAAAATGCAAATCAATGCATATGCTTGAGAGAAAAAATAAATCTTTCTGATAACTAATCCCGCTTTTTTTTACATTATAATAATCTTCCGAGAAAAAAAAATAGAAATTGTTTCTGTTTTTTTCTTTCCTCTTGAATTTCTTGCGCCGCATGCGAAGAAAAAATTGGACAATTATCTTAATAAGTTATTACGATTCTAATTCTATAAAAATTTACTTTTAAAATAAGCCTATGGAAAAATGAAAAATGTTTATTCTGCATGCGAAGAAAAAAAAATTGCGTAATTACACTATAACTAGCTGTGAATCCGCATAGAATATTACCGAGAAAAAATGGACACTAAGAAAATGTTTTTTTTTTCCTCATTTGTCCATTTTTTATTTATTATACAATTATATTGAATTTTAAATTGTTTATAAAAATTAATTTTTTTTTAATATTTGAAAAAAGTAATAATTTTTTTTATTGTGAAACATTTTTATATTTGGTTTTTGTCTTTTAAAAATTATAATTTTAGGTAAAAAGTATTATTACATCACGTTGTGATCGATTTTTTTTTTAATTGTATGTTATATTTAGTAGTGAATTAAGTTTCGCTCTATGTTAACAGAAACTACATGAGACTGCACTATGAATGCTCGTAGTTCACGAGATTTTAGAGAGTATGAGGGGACAAATGGTAGATAGACAGATTGAGAAAATGAAAAGTAACGATTCAATATTTGCGTGAAGAGTCGCGCGTGTTTTAAATTAACGCTATTCTATATGAGAGTGTCATTCCCAACATTAACAACGTTTTTCCATTAAACCAACACATACACACTCTAAGCCACAAACAATATTCTTGCCTCACTCATTGAAAAAGAAAAAAAAAAAAAATTATGACAGCGTAGAAAGGATTTTACTTCTGATAAACTATTCATTTTGTATAGTGTTTTACAGCATATACGTACATCTAAATCTATATGACCATTTTTATTTAGAAAGCATTTACCGAACCATGTTACGCGAATATTTAATTTAAAAAACTAATATTTTCATTTTACTTTTTTTTTTGTAAACTAAAATTCATCTCAAAGGGGGCCTGAAGCATTTTTCCAAACAAAAACACAATAAAAGTTTGACAATAGAGAAAAAGTTTGAAATATAACTGTTTAAAAATTAACCGATAAAAAATGGGTTTGGCTTTAATTGAAAGCATGTATGTTGGATTTTTTTTTTATTTTTTTATTTTATTCGAAAGTAGAACATATTTTCGTTCATGTGATTTGGCCTCAATTTTTATTATTCTATGTTTCTATAATAAATTGCTGTTTATTAAACCCAATTTTCGATTTCACTGTTTTTATGATTTTTTTCGATGAATTTTTCAATTTGGATTATGAGAGCACTTCCTTTTTCGTGCCACAAAACATGTATGTGAATAAAAAATTTTTTTGATTTAAAATATTTTTCTTTTTTTTTTTTGAAGGATGTAGGAATTTTTTAATAATTTTTTTTAAATACCATTTTTTCTTTTTTTGTTAAAAAATCAAAATTCATTCTTTTATGCTATTCTTTTTTGTGAAGAACTGAAAAATAGTATAAAAATTTGTTGTCATATTTTAAAGTATATTAATATATTGTCAAAAAATTTATTCTAAAGAAATTGTATATTTGGGGAAATGACTAAAATAATATTACCGACATATTAAATTTTCCTTAAATATAAAATTTTATAAAATATATACATTTTTTGATCAGAAATATACCAGAAAATAATTTCAAAATTTTTTCTTATTTTTTTTTCAGTTCTCTGATTCAGATAAATTTTTTAAGTAGTATTCTTATTATATTTCATGATTTTGTAAAAAAAAATATATATATATATATATTTCTTCATTGATAATTTTGTATATATTTTTAGATGATATAATTTTCATTATCACTTTTGTCCACAAATTGGAATATTCTAATAAAATACAATGTAATTAAATTTCTTTGGTAAATATTTCGATAACAATACTTTGAGGTCCAGGGGATGAAAATTCAATATCCTCCAATATATATATATATATATATTGGTACTGGAAAGTTTATCTCATCTTTAGTTTGGAAGGTGAACTTTGGGTCTCTCTATATTTTCACGATATGAGCAGCTCAATATAGAATGTCACTTATATATATACTTTATGTATATTGAGCATGTTCCACGCCGGAATCAGTAAATGACATAGTTTATATCGTTGATTAGAAAATTTTCAATTGAAAATTTCTATTTCCTTAGAAATTTCCTTTTCAAAATGTGAATTTTTGGTTACGACTATTTTCTATGAAATGTTATCGTCGTGAAAGGAGGAAAAAATTTTTGTTGCAAAATATTCCCGATCCTTATCTATTAAAGGAAGACTCATGAAAGGAAGGGGAAATAAATGCGTATCAAGAGAAGTTGAAGCTATAAAGGAAGAGTGGTTGAGTTGGAGCGCGCTTTTAGGTTCGTAAGCGCCTTATATGCACTCGATCGACTTTGGACCTGTCAAACTATCGACCCTTTCCAAAACGAATGAGGAGCTATAAGGCTGAGATAAGATTCTTATTTCTTTTCTGTCTTTCTTTCTCTCTCTATTTCTCCCTATCTATATGTATATGTATATACGTATAGTATACGAAAGTTTGTGTAACAAGATGCTTGCGGTTCCTGACCACCAGTAACTTCCACAACTAAAGCAAACCCTCTTCACGTTTGTTTCAGGAGATGAAAGTCAACTGGGCGACGTCGCCGGGTAACCAACCGAAACAGGACACGAGCAGTGAGTAGAAATTTACGATTCTACAAGTCTCTTCCTTCAAGATTGGTTTAAACTTATACCGAAACTCCGCTTGTGATAATTTCTCCACTCAAACTGTCATATATATATATATATATATATATATATATATATATATACATGTTTATTTTTTACTCCCTATAAATTTAAATTTTTTATACTCATTTAAAATAAGTAATTAATTTCATAAATTTTTAATTGATGAAATTTCAACTCTAATTTTTAGTTGGTTTTTCAGTAATTAAGAAAAATTTCTATGAAATTTATTAACTTTGAGTATTGACTATAATTAATTAACTTTTTAGGATACAATGTAAAATTTACAGCATGAATTGGAAAAATTTAAACATTCATTTTTTTTATTTTAAATTGTTTAATTACCGTTTCCAGGAATAATTATGGAACATCAAAGGTAATGTAAATATGGAACGCGCAATTCTTTTTAATGTAAAATTTTTATATTAAATTGTTTCAATTTGATTTTTGTTTTGAAAATAATAGTTTAATATTTTTCCTACAAAGTAACTCAAATATTTTTATTTTTATTGTCATTGGCAACGAGAAAATAATTGACAAAACTTCAAAAAAGTGCGAAAGTCCATTAATTTCTCTGAATTCAATAAAAATTATAAAAAAATAATAATAATAATAATAGTTAAAAAAAATTTTTTTAACAGTTTAGATTTTTGGTAAAGAAAAAATTGAAATAATCAAGTTCTTTGTTCCATGATTGATGGTAATTAATAAATTTTTACGAACTAAAAAAGCTGAGAATTAAATATCTAAAAATAAGTTCTTATTCCAATCTTGAAGTTAAAAAATATATACTGTATAAACAAAAACATAAATATTAAATTTGTTGCATGTAGTTTATAGATAGTATTATTTTAAAACTACAGATTGTATTGTTTTAATATAATGAATATTTACACCACTGGGTGTTAAAATACCACTAAAAAGGTGTTAATTTAATTCTTCTTAATCGTTACACTGAAAAAATCTGAACTCAAAATGAGTAACGTACGCTACTCGTTTTGATGTGCAGCAAAAATGAGTCACGTTGGTGGCGCCAATTTCTATGTTGTTTAGCATTGACTCATTTTGAACTGCAGCAAAAATAAGACTAGGTTTTTTTTCTCTGTAGGTTCAGAATATTTATTTTTTCGACCACTTTTCTTATAAAATATTGAATGAATTTAACTGGAATTTTGTGAAGAAGACAGTTTCTTTATAAGTTTAGATTCTAGAAACTAGATAGTATAACTGACCTAAACTTTCTAAACAATCTAGATAGTTTCCATATAGTTTAGGTATCTAGAAACTAAATAGTATAACTGTCCTAATTTTTCTAAATAATCTAGATATTTTTTATACATTTTAATTATCTATAAACTTGTTTATGTCGTAGCGTTACATTTCTTGCTAATTTTAATATATTTCAATTATACAGTCCCGAGGCAAAATTTAAGGCCTACTTTTCTAGGAGTAAAGTAGGGTTAAACAGACCTTCCTTAGCTGCCTGGAATGTGAGCAAATTTCTCAACAAAAAAGTTTTTTGTTAATCGTATAGCACTGACTCGTATAATACGTCTTTATTGTTCGCACACTTCACTGTAACACATGTGAAAAGTTTGCTGACATTGCTAATAAGTACTTATATACAAAGACAGATGGCGCTAGTATGATAAAACAAAATAAACCTGATGGCTCAACTCTGACCACTGTCCAACCCTGACTACTCTCTCCTAATTAAAGAGAAATTGTGTGAAAACAAATTTCATTTTGCTTTAATCAAAATAATTAAAACAGTATTTTTTTAATCGAACTAGACCCACTTTAGCTTTCTCAACCAGTCGCAAATCTAAAAGATCAAAAAGAGGGCTTATTGAGGTTCTAGGGAGCTAAAGAAGATTTAAATTTTGACTCAGGTTGGCTACACCAAGAGCCAATCAGAAGTGTTAAATTTAATTCTCTGGCGCACTAAACAAGTGGACTAAATTTGACCATGGTTGCGATAGCGACAGGTTAGAAAAGTTAGGTTAGAAAAGGTGACCACGTGGTCGCCAAAGCCAGCGAACTTTTCAAACAAGTTTTAGTTCATTTTTAGCCAAGTTCTGTGCTGTGAATACATATGATTTGTTCTGCTTTTAAAAGCAACTTTTTAACCTTTTTTTTTAAACCGTTCGTTCTACCACGTGCTCTCCGAGGTGTTCTTCAAAGTTTGTTCTAATCCTGATTTTTTCTGAGTTTTGTTCTATAAGCGAGTCTGACTTCCAAATTTTTTGTGTCACCCTGAGGATCCATTTTATTATTTTATTCTGTTCCGTGTGACTTTTCATGAATTTTACTGGTTTTATCTGCGTTTGAAGTGACTCACTGTTATCGTGCTGTGACCTCTGCTGTTTATAATGCTTTGTGGAACTATGTAAACATCTTTTGTATATCTGCCGTGTCACCTTGCAGTGTTGTGGTCTTCGACAGTTTAATATCTTAACTGTATACCCCTTGTTCAAGGTTTAAGTATATTTAAGGTGTTTGAAACCCGGTGTTGACATTTTCCCGCCTTTCAAGTACAATTGATGTTTCTCACTCAATCTGAGTTTGTGTCTCATTGTTTTACCCAGAGGGAACTCGACTTCAGTAGTCTTACTTTAACCTTCCATTGTTTTATTTTTCTGATTGAAAGTTAGAAATTGTTATCGAGATCAATTATATATATATATATATATATATATATCAATGTATGGCCTATACGCTTTGAATTCAATTCTCGCATGTATTCTTCTCATGGGAATTTATTATGATTCATGACTGAATTCAACGTATGGCAAATTCATTTTCCTTGTACTCGACTTGTCCGTTTCCAAGCGAACAATATATTTGATTCAATCTCAAATTTCCTATAAGCTGGAGTTACTTTGCTGTTGTCTAAGCTGTATTACCAACAGTGTAGCATATAGGGTATTCTAGAACTTTTTCGTCTTCTAAGTTTATTGTTCGGACAGTTGGCTGTGCCTCAAATCATTTAAGAAGAAGAAGAAGGATTAAATTTAACCCTCCTGATTGGCTCTCGGTGTAGCCAGCCTCATAGAAAATAGTATAACTATAGAAACGTGAAGTATTTAAATATATTTACATATTTATATCTTTAAATAGAAAAACGAACTTGATGTTCTTTATTTTGAAACTTGTTGTCTAAAACTCAAAATGAATTTAATTGGTATTATTTTTGTTACATGTTAAAATAAGTATCGTATAAGAAATATTTCGAGTTAAAAGTTTTTTATGTAATTTAGTAAGGTCATAATTCGTATCTGGTGTGTTCCTGTTTCTGCATAGAAGCTGCCCGTCCGAGGCCAGTAGGCGTTAAACGTACGTCTCTCCGTTAAGTTCTCCTCACTTCCCTCTTCTTGAGAAGAGATAGTATATACAATATATATATACTTCCTTCCTTGAGTTTCCGGTCGACTCGTATATCCAGGCAGTTGAGAAAGTTTTGGACGCATTTCGCCGAGGAGGCTATGTTCACTTCGTTCCCTATTCTTTACGTCCATCATTTGCATAAGAGCTACTATACCTTCATGCGCGCATTCTTGAATATAATAGACCCGCCTCTTACAGGAAAACCATTTGCCAATCGTTCATAATAATAATCGAGGTATTGGTTACACTGTTCTCTACAGTTTTATGATGATTGAACTGTTATGGATGCTTCAAGTAAATTTTATCGTGAATCTGACCTTAAAAATTTACAACCAAGAAGGATTTTCAATAAAAAATTGTAGTGGAAAATATTATAAAATCATTCCCTATATTTCATATATACAGTCATTTATATTATCAGCTTCCATGCAAACAATCACATTATAATAAATGTATATCTACATTTATTATGCGTAAAAATGAAATTATGGTCAAAGTATGTCACATGATCAATACCCATACTTTGCCCATACAATGCGATACTTTCATTTTTACGTGGGTAAACATTACCTTAATTAAAAAAAAAATCCAAATAGAAAAATATTTACTGCTTTTAAAATTTGTAAGAAATTAAAATTTTAAAAATTGACACATTTTTATTATAAAGTAAACAATAAATTTTTTATATATTTTTTTTGTAATTTTTAATATATATATATATATTTAAAAATAAGTTGTATAATTAATGATGTAGAATTAAAAGTTGACAAGAAAAAAAAAAGCTTTGAATTGTAAATTAAAATTTTGTATGTATATAGAGAGAAGGAGGGAAGAACGAAGGATTGAGAGGGGATTTAATTATGAAAGTTCATTTCCGCAGTAAACAGTGCTTTATAAGCCCTATGGCAGCAATGGTCTGATTCGTTGCTAACATTTTATGCCGATCGGTCGATTAAACAGTGGGTAAAGAATTATTAATGATTCCGGTTTCTCTCTGTATCCATGCCAATGAAGAAGAGAAACCGGAACCATTAGTAATGTCCATTCGCAACGTTGCCAAAGTACCACTGGCATTCACTCTCGTAAAACAAAAAAAAAACAAAGTTTGTTAAGAAAAAATAAAGATTTTTGAATTAAAAAAAAAAATTAAAAATTAAGCGCTTAATTAAAATAAATAATAAAGAAAGGAACTTTTTCAATATGAACATATTGTAGACGAATAATACAAGATATTTATAGCATCGACTGGCGTGTTGGAAATTTTATGGTTTTAACAGAGAGGGTTATGGTGAGGAGTTTGTGAATTTCGCTAAGTTTTGCCAGCGGTTTGAGTTCACCTGAGGTTGGTTGTGCTTGAAATTCAGAGCAGCGACCAAACAATATTTAACTCAGGCTGAAATTCCTCTTTTTATGGACTTGTAAAACTGTGACAGGCACATGGGACCCCAATCCTGCCGTTTCCAACGTCATTCGCCTCTTTTACCCTTTTCCTGCATATATATATATACATATATGTTCGTATATATATATATAAGAAGGTTATGTGGTCCTACAACATC